GCCTCCCGTCCAGCCCAGCCTCCCCCCACTCCTCCCCGTGGCCTCCCATCCAGCCCAGCCTCCCCTCACTCCCCACCTGGGGACCACACTGCAGCCAGCCTGGAGCTCTCTTAATTTCTGAAACACATCACATTTTTTTTCCACTTTCACAAGGTCTGGCAGGGACACCCTGGTCCTCGGAAGCATGTCCAGGCCCAGAAGCACATCCTCATAGGAGATGAATGGGCCTGTCTGATGACATCATTGTAACAACTCTCCCTGTTCTCATTCTAGGCTCCCAAGTGACTGATGAAGAAATGAATGAAAAAATTTGATTTTCCAGATAATTACAAGGAGAGAATATGCTGACAATTTTCATCCATTTAGCAGATACTTCAACCTGCATAATAGTTCTATTTCTCATAGAAAATTTAAAAATTAATGGTCTGGTATATACATCATTCTCTATGAGTTTGGTTATTGCAAGTCAGCCTATCCAACGCCAGTGAACATTTCAGTTCTAGTTCCAGGGCCTATGAGAGCGAGGAGGAGCGGTTAGAAGGCGGGCAGCTACGAGGATGCTCTTCAGCAGACAGCCAGCCGGCTTTCCAGGACAACACCTGCTGCATTTAATGTTTGATCCTTTGACAACCTGGAACTCTGCTTTCAATTGTATCTCAGTTAACTCCCGGTTATTGGGCCCCTAGTGGATCCCAGGGACGATGCAGGCACTTCAGAGAGATTCTGCCCTCTTTTCTCACCCCTATTCTAGTTCTGAAAGAGTCTTCCACCCCTTGGGCAAAGAGAAGAGCAAGAGACTGGGAGTCTGGGGCTCTGGATTCAAGTTCCGGCTCTGAACCGAGTCAACAAATGGACCTGAATATGTCTCTTGGCCTCCAGGCCTCCATTTCTGCTGTGCGATGATTTGGACCAGAGGGCACCTCTGAAGGCTGTGAGGGAAAGGAAGGGTCAGCGGAGGCTGGCCTTGCAGAGACCAGGCTGGGCAGAGCTGCAGAGGGAGACTCAGACCTGGTGCCAAGGGGCCAAGAGCAAGCCCCATAGGCAGAGCCTGGAGGGAGCGTGGAAAACAGCCCCTTCTGTGTGTGCTGTTGGAGCTCCGTCTCTCATGTGCGCGTAAGGAGCGGAGCAGGTGTGGCGGGGGCACTGCTGGCTTGCTGCCGAAGGGGGCTCCTTGTATGTGTGTGGGCAGGCGTGGCTGGGTACCCGTGGGTGCCGACTGTAGTCAGGAGAACTCATCCCGGCTTGCACCACCTGTGTGACCTGGAGCACATCTCCTGACTTCTCTGGCCTCCGTTTCCTCTTTTGTTGACCACTGGGAGGGGAGATTCTCTTTCATTTGGTTCATTATTTCATTCACGCATTCAACCAACATTCTTCCAGGCTTGTTGCAGATTCTCGGAGCCAGGCACTGGGAAGACAAAGGAGGCTACGGAGCAGCTCTGGAACCATAAAGTCCAGCCGGGAGACTCCCTGCTCACGCTGTCACGCACTTCCACGTACAGTGGAGCACAGGGAGGGTGTGGTTAACTCTCTGGTCTGCAGGGTTCACAGCAGGCCATCTGGGCAAGGCCACACCTGTGCCTTGAAGGATGGACAGGAGGCCATGGGGTGACTGAGGCAACCTACCAGAGGAAGGGCCAGTGCACAGGTCCCAGGGCACGCACTAAAGACCCATCTTGTGACACACACCCAATGAAGTTTGTATGACGCTGAATTCAAATCACTGTTTGTGGCCAGGCGCAGTGGCTCATGCCTGTAATCCCAGCACTTTGGGAGGCTGAGGTGGGTGGATCATGAGGTCAGGAGACAGAGACCACCCTGGCCAACATAGTGAAACCCGCTTTCTACTAAAAAAACAAAATTAGCCAGGCGTGGTGGTCCATGCTTGTAATCCCAGCTACTCGGGAAGCCAAGGCAAGAGAATTGCTTGAACCCGGGAGGCAGAGGTTGCAGTGAGCCAAGATCATGCCACTACACTCCAGCCTCGGAGACAGAGTGAGACACTGTCTTGAAAAAAATAATCACTGCATCTGTGCCCTGCACCATTTCCTGAGCACTGTGAAGGGTAAGGATTACCAGATCCACCTTCCCATGTTCACCCAGGGCACCGGCATGAGCACAGAGGAAAAGCCAGGGGGTGTCTTCTTGGGTGTGTAACCGTGGATGGAGGGAGGGAGGAAGGAGGGGCTGTTGGGGCCAGGCAGAGGCATGCATCGGACCTGCCCACACCCCAGTAGGAAGCAGGGACAGGGCTGTCTCTGGGACTTTACCTCTGGGACTCCGGGATCCAGGAAGGCGGCCACGTACTCAGCCAGTGCCACGTCGCCGAGCATTTTCTGCGCCAGCTCGGAGAGCAGAAGGTCCACCGGCCCGTGTCTGTGCAGCTCCTGCAGCAGGCGGGTGATCAGGCGGTTCCTCTCCCGGCACTTACGGACCAGGGAAGCTACCTTGGCCTGCGAGGGAGAGAGGCCATGGATGTAGAGCTGCCCCCAGGGCTGCATGGCTGAGCTGGGGGCTGGGAGCCAGAGAGTCAGCCGAGGCCCCTACTTGCCATCCCAGCTCTGCCTCAGCTCAGCGGAGCAGCCTCCTCCCTGCAATGCCTCCCTGTACCCAGAAGCCAGGCTGCTTTCGGAGCAGACTCCCACACACCTTCAGGAGCTCCGCACTGCCCTCCCATGGGGTCAAGGCGCAAGGCAGCAGGGGGTCAAGAGCGTGGATTTGGGCGCCACCATGGACCGGCTCTGTAAGCAAGTGCCCCTCCGCACCTCCACTTGCCCATCTGTACAATGGGGGTTGTCCCGGACAACAGGATAAAAAGAGATGGTGCTGGCAGGCGCCCACCCAGTGTCCTGTTTCCATCTTTATCTCACATTTCCATAGCACTTTGTAAGGGATTATGGTCTTCATTTAAAGAAATGCTCCGCAGCAAAAGGTGGCCACGAGAGGGAGGAGGAGGGAAGCTTCGAGCTACGGGAGCTTCACGGTCCGCTCTGCACCTTCCCAGCTACCGCGTCTGCAGGGGTGCGGCAGGAATTATGACAATTTTTATTTTACTGGCACCAACTCGAAGCTCAGACAGACACAGAAATGTGGGGTGGGAAGTGACTTTAGGAACTGCATGGCTCACGTTTCTGATTTGACCGCTGAGGAAACTGAGGCCCCAGAGGGAGGATGACTCTGCAGGACAGAGGGAGTGCCCGGGCGTAACCAGGTTCTGCTGACGCCCAGCCCAGGTCACCTCCCTCTCCACCCTGCCCTGAGGCCAGAGAGAAAGAGCAGAGCCCCCAGCTTCTCCCCTGATCCAGGCCCATGTTCAAGATGAAATGTTACCTTAACCAAATTCCGTGTCCTGCTAGCAAAGAACATATTAAACCCTGTGGGCCACTAATGACATTTCCAGGAACTGATCTTAAACATAAATGTCTAGATACTTGGAAAAAAACCTGAGAAGAAATGTACATTGGCCAGGTGGATGGCTCACGCCTGTAATCCCAGCACCTTGGGAGGCCAAGGTGGGTGGATCACCTGAGGTCAGGAGTTTGACACCAGCCTGGTCAACATGGCAAAACCCCATCTCTACCAAGAATACAAAAATTAGCCAGGCATGGTAGCGCATGCCTGTAATCCCAGCTACTCGGGAGGCTGAGGCAGGAGAATCGTTTGAACCCAGGAGGCAGAGGTTGCAGTAAACCGAGATCACACCACTGCACTCCAGCCTGGGTGACAGAGCAAGATTTCGTCTCAAAAAAAAAAAAAAAAAAAGGAAAAGAAAAAAATGTGCATCAGAGTGTTTATATACAATTAATGATACAAGAGAGCAATAGAAAGGAAGGGGCTTGAACACAGAGCGTGGTGGTGGTGATTTTATGAACCAAGGTGTCTCGCACTGCACCCCAGCATCAACAGTGCAGCCTCGAAGGCTGGGACCCAGGGGAAGTGCCCTCCTAGGTCACCCCATCAAGTGGGAGCAGCAGGAGGCAAAGGTAGAGGCATCGTAGGCTTTCAAACACATGGGAAACATATTGGAGAAAAACACACAGAAATGTTATGTGCAAGTAGAGGCTGGGGTGCTGCCTGTCTCCTTCATTCTTCTTTCCAGCTTTTTTTTTTTTTTTTTTTTTTTTGAGACAGAGTCTCATTCTGTTGCCAGGCTGGAGTACAGTGACGTGATCTCACCTCACTGCAACCTCTGGCTCCCAGGTTCAAGTGATTATCTGCCTCAGCCTCCCAAGTAGCTGGGATTACAGGCACATACCACCATGCCCAGCTGATTTTTGTATTTTTAGTAGAGCCGGGGTTTCACTGTGTTGCCCAGGATGGTCTCGATCTCTTGATGTTGCAATTTGCCTGCCTCGGACTCCCAAAGTGATGGGATGACAGGCATGAGCCCTCTTGCCCGGCTGTTTTGTTTGTTTTTGAGTCATGATTTCGCTCTGTTGCACAAGGTGGAGGGCAGTGACACGATTTTGGTTTACTGCAGACTTCACCTCCTAGGCTCAAGCAATCCTCCCACCTCAGCCCTCCCAAGTAGTTGGAACTACAGGCGCATGCCACCATGCTAGGCTAATTTTTGTATTTTCTGTAGAGATGGAGTTTTGCCACGCTGCCCAGGCTGGTCTCACACTCCTGAGCTCAAGCAATCCGCCCAACTCAGCCTCCCGAAGTTCTGGGGTTACAGGCATGAGCCGCTGCACCCAGCCATACCTAAATTTTTATACAACAGAGGCAGATTACATTTCTAATGGGAAAAATACTAAACTCTCTTTTGTCTTGAAAGAGGCATTTCGTATTGATTTTATGAACACATTACCTTCAGGGGAGTCACCGCCAACTGTGCTTCATGTTGTTTTCGCTGAAGTTCTTCAAGCTGAAATAGAAGCGACATTTTTTATAACGCTGCACCACCACTTACCACCGTCCAGGGCTTCCCCGGTGAGCCGGGCTCAGAGCGGCTGGCAGTCACCTGCCCTGTTTACCCTCATGGGGACCCAGTGCCAGGAACAGGGGCCTTTCCCAACACCTGCCTGGCAGGCTCAGGGGAGGTCCGATGTTCTGAATACTCCAGAGTCAGCTCTGCCCAACTGCAGTGGCCGGGACCAACTCCAGGCCGTCTTCTGAGTCCCCACGCAGCGCGGCAATTTTCTGGTCTTGTGGTAAACATACAAGTTCCTGAGCCAGACACCAGAGGTCCTAGTCCCGGCTCAGCCAGTCGCTGGAACTGAGATCTTGCACAAGGCTTTCTCCATCTGCCTCTGTTTTCTCATCCGTGAAGTGGGCTCACATGAGTACCCACCCACTGGTGAGAACTGTAGTGAGGATTTGGGGAAGGAGTTCATGTAAAGTGCTTAGAACAAGCCCTAGCACCTGACCTGTCAGTGACCAATAAACTAATGTTACTATTAGGTGCAGATGAAAGCTGGGCGCAGATTCTTTGAGACTGCTCCCTGCGGAGGGGGTCCCTGTCCCCTTCCCTCTGATCTGGGCTGACCTGAGATTCCTTGACTCATAGAATGCAGCCCGGCTTTGAAGAGGACTGGCAGCTTCCACTTTGGGTATCTTCTGTTCCTGAGGCAGGATTTAAGAAGTCCCAGTGTCCTTTGGGGAGACCGTGAGACATGACAGAGAAAAGGGAAGGCACTGGTGGGGGCCACCTTCCGCCACCCTGCACGTGAGTGAGGCCAGCGGGGACACCCTAGCCGACCTGGCATCCAGCCGGATACCACGGAGTCATGCCCACTGATCCCCTGGAGGGCAGAACAGCCTAGCAGAGTCTTGTCTGAATTCCTGACCCATAAGACATAACAAAACAGATGCTGTGTAAGCTCTTCTGACTCTCTCATTCCCTGTGTAGTCAGTTAAAACAAAATAAAAAGCCATATAGATAAAAGGCCTCTTTCTCACCCCCAACCTCTTCTGACCTCTAGTTTTTTTCAACCCAACATACCCATATGAATCAGAATGTGTGTATATGAAATTATACTATGTGAAAGGTTTTGGATCTTACTTCATGGTTAAATATGCAAGATTTTAAAAGAATGAGATCAGTTTGTATGTGATGATACAAAATTTTTGTGCTATTTTCATACTAATGCATAGAAGCTGAATTCACTCTTTTAAAATCTTGCATATTATTTAATCACAAAGCTGAAACAAAATTGATTTAACCAGTACTTTGTTTATGAAAATTTGTATTATTTCTATTTCTTTGTTTTAGAAACAAATCTTCAACGAATATTTCCATATATCAATTTTGGCACAACTTTCCTAGTATATTCAAAGAGTAAAATTCCAGCTTTAAGCAGACTGTCTTATATTCAAAAGGCACTCAATCATATTTGCAGACTTGGATTAAACCTTCCGTCTGCTTCAGTTTAGGAAACAGCATAAATATGCCTCAGTGAGAAATGTATTGGGCATTTGCAATTAAAAAACGAATCAGAAGAAATTAAAAAGATAACCTACAGAACTGGAGGAAATATCATATATCTAATAAAGGACTTCTATCTAGAACATAAAAGGAACTCTCACAACTCAACAAAAAAATAGTCAATTAACCCTATTAGAAAAATGGGGAGGGCTGGGCATGGTGGCTTATGCCTGTAATCCCAGCACTTTGGGAGGCTGAGGTGGGTAAATCATGAGGCCAGGAGTTCAAGACCAGCCTGGCCAAGATGGTGAAACCCAGTCTCTCCTTTACTAAAAACATAAAAAAAACTAGCAGGGCATGGTGGCACGTGCCTGTAATCCCAGCTACTTGGGAGTCTGAGGCAGAGAATTGCTTGAACCAGGGAAGTGAAGTTGCAGTGAGCCAAGATCATGCCATTGCACTCCAGCCTGGGTGGCAGAGCGAGACTCCATCCCCCACTCCCCCAAAAAAAGAAAGAAAAGAAAAATGGGAAGAATCTGAATAAATGCTTCTTCAAATAAGACATACAAATGGCCAGTATGCACAGGAAAAAATGTTCCACGGTATTAGTCATCAGGAAAATACAACTCAGAACCAGTGAGAGACAATTTCCCACTAACTAGGATGTCTAGAATAAAACAGACAGCTAGTAGCAGATGTTGGGGAGGGTGAGAAATTGGAACTTTCCCACACTGCTGGTGAGAAGATAAAATGAATTTATCAGAGACACTCTTCCTCTTTAAAGCAACTGTGATTGAGATGTTCAAGAATTATATTATAAAAACATCATCCTAAAACTGGGAACTATGAAAAAGAATCATAGGGAAATTCTAGACCTGCAAAATGGACTAACTGAAATGAAGAACTAATGTGAGTTTAAGAGCAAATTTGATTCATTCAAAGTGTACTATTTAGCTGGAAGAGAGATTCGAAGGAAATATCGAAACTCAGCAGAAGGAAAAAAGAAACAATAATTTAAAATGTACTTAAAGTCTAATTCATGTGTAACTGAAGTTTCCACACACCCCTCCCCACAGGCCAGTGACAGATAAGAGAAGAAAGCAAGACTAGCTCTTGTGTTGGTTGAAGACGCAGTGAACAAGGCACACTCATTTATCGCTGGTGGCGTGGAAGTGGGTACCACTACTTTGGAGAGCAATCTGTGGTATGCAGCTAAGGATCAACAATATTCTCCCCTTTGGAGCTGGGTGTCCCAGTTCTCTGAAGTGTTACATATAAACGGTTATCTGTAAGTTCATAGAAATAGCTATAGATGCAACAGTGGGGAACAGTTAAGGAAACCACATCGACCCAATAGATTACTCCACAGTCAGCAATCAGACAAACTGTAGTAGATAACTACACAGTCAAACAATCATGCATGCGAAGACTATGCAGCCACATGGACAAATGCACATAAAGCTCTACATGTAACATGCTTTGATGTTACAAACAACACATGGGAAAAGAGCCAGAAATTATACCGTAATGCTGAGGCTGTATTTTTCATCCATCAACTTGTCCAAAAATTGTAAAGTTGCTAACATTCAGGGTAACATGTTATGGGCAAACAAGTGGACTCATTTCATCTTGGGAGTAAAAATGATGCTACTATTTTGGAGGGTTATTTGCTATTAACTGCTGCAGTTTATATATACATATATATCTCCTTTCTTTTGCTACAATTTTGCCATTTAGATATGCAGCAGAAGCATATGCTGAGAGAGAGAGAAAATTGTTAATTGAAGCTGTGTTTGTAATGCAAAGAAATGGAAACAACTTGAACTTCCACAAACAAAAAATGGACTAAATAAGTAATAATTTGGCCTCATGATGACATAATACATAAGATTTTAAAGGAATGAGGTCACTTTGTATGTGTTGATATGAAAATGCCACAACGTTCTTAGTTAAGTGACAAAATCAAGATGCAGAATAGTTTTGTACAGCGTAACTTCAAACGTACACATGCACATTCAGACAGCGGGTAGATAGGGTTGAAACAGTATTGGAAGTCAGAAGAAGTTGAGATTGAGGAAAAGGAAAGATTTTATATTTTTTATTTTAAAAAATTTAGATGACTAAGATTTGGATATAATTGTAAGAAATAATACAGAGAGCTCTCTTGTACGTGTTTTCTTGAGACAGGGTCTTGCTCTGTCGCCCAGGATGGAGTGCACCCTTGTACATTTTGCCCAGTTTCCCCCAGTGGGAATATTTTGCAAAACTATAGTGTCATATCACAGCCAGGAGTTGAAATGGACACAATCCACTGATCTTATTCAGATATCTCCAGTTTTACACGTGCGCGTGTGCGTGTTAAGTTCTGTGCAACTCTGGTACCCCTATAGGTTTGAGTCTCCACCACTCACTTCCCTCTGACAGAGGAAGGGTTTGACCTTTATTTATATGACACTGTAAACCTGCTTGACTTTTTAAAGAAACCACTTATGTGTATTTTTAAAATTTAACAGAGAAGGTATGATAGAGTCTGTATTTTTCTTCCTGGTACTGTCTTATACTTTAAAAATCCAGTACCTGCTTCCAACTGGCTAGAAAGGTCAGGGAGACCTCAGCCGATCCTTTTCCACTCCCAAAACTCCCCGGGGTGTGGGATCCCTGGCTGACAAGAGGGGGAAAGAAACCGCTTCGCAAACCTTGGCCTGGAGCTCCTCCTGGAGACGGGTGGCCTCGTCCCGAGATGCCTGGTGGGTGGCGCCCAGGTCCCTGAGCTGGCACTGTAAGGTCAGTACCCGGTGATGGAGCTGCTGGGCACGCAGCCTGTGACCCTCCTCAGTACCTTCAGCCTCTGAGTCCTGGAGCTGCGGAAAACACAGATTTGAATGAAATTTTTAGGCTACCTTCCAAGCAATTTGCCTTAGCCAACAAACTGTACCTGTTTCCCACCATTTAGTTATTTTCCCCCACTTACACTTCTCTTACAGTAAAAAAGTTTCAGAAAATAAAGTAGCAGAAATCACTCTCAATCCGATTATCCTACAGCACCTTTGTTATTATCCATAGATTTTCTGCAGACTTCCTGCTAAGCCCCTCACCATGTGCATGTATAGGAGTGCGTGGTTCTGCTTGGTTTCCGGAGGGGGACATTGGGGAGGGCCAGGAGATCCCCAGAATAACAGCCTGGAATATTATCTTCAAAAGTATGTGCAGTGGGGTGGCATTCCAGAATCTGCTGGAATAGATACCAGTCACTGTTATGCTGAAACAGTGTGATGAGTGAAACTGAATGTCCCAATCAAATTAGGAGATGCTTATTACCCTAAAACATAATATGTTGTACAGAACAGAAGATACCATATCTCCCATAGGCACTTTCCCCAAATCAGTACACAATCGCCTCTCACTCTTCCTGAATCTAAGGTGAGGGTAGCGGGTTCCATTCAGGTGCCAAAGGGAATTTCTGGAAGGGAGGACAGTGAGAGGGAAGAGGCTGACTTCACCTCGTGGGAAGTGTGGCGAAATGGGGGAGGTGCTGCTGCCCCCAAATGGTTTTGAAGTCTAAATTCTTATTTTTTAAATAACTCACATACATATGCGCACACAAACGTACATAAACATATATACTAACATAGTTTTCTATATAAAATTTAAAATACGATATACGTCCTTTGTTTCCTGCTTTTCTCCCTTAACACTGTGTCCTGGGCATTTTTCCATATTACCAAATAATGTTGAAAATGCTATTATTAATATATACATAGTTCTGTGGCCACGCTGAGCACTCGAATTGTTCTAACATTTTGCTGTTATAATTGGAACGGTGACAAAGACCCTTGTGCATAAATACTTGGACATACCTCTGATGCTTTCCCTGAGATCGTCGGGGGGGATTTCTGGGTCAAACAACATGAGCATCTTGAAGCTCTTGGTTCATGCTGCTAAGGTGGCCTCAGAAGGGAACAGCACTGCTAAAAGTTCCCTTTGTGAAGATTTAGGAACCCAGAAACTCGGATGCTTCTCAAACACCCTCCACCTTGTGATGGCGGCCCTCTTTTCCTTTAAGTCAGCTTCCCTAGGAATTGTAAGGCCCCAAAACTGGTCCCGACCGAGTGGGAGTAGGTAGGAGGGGGAATGCCAGGCTACCCTGCTTGGGAATGAGAAAGAAGGGAGAAGAGGAAGAGAAGGAAGGACCCAGGTGACTTCATGGTTGCTGAGGCATCTCTCTTGCAATAAAATATACAATAGTAGAAGAGGATTTTTTAATTAATAGAAATATACACCACGTGGGCCTGAGATGCACAGGCTGGGCCCTGTCAAGAACAGATGGGTGCTCCGAATGGTCCCGTAAAATTCAGCTCCAAGACTTCAAAACAACTTGGCCTTTCTGGGAAGTACGTTGCCTCCTCTGCCTCCCTCCTCTGGCAGTGACTTGGACCAGGGCTTTGCCCCATGGGTCCTCAGAGAGCACCCAAGTGTCCTCTAAAGAGAATGGCCCTGCGGGTGGGGCCGGCCTGCTGTCCCGTGGGATCTCGCCACAGCAGCCTGAGAGCTGCCCAGCGAGTCTCCTGCTTTCTAGCGGTCATCGTGAGCACATGTACTGGCTGCACGCTGGCCTGAGATAACAGTGGCGACACTGCCCTCCAGGAGTTCAGGCTGGTGGGGACAATGACAAGCAGGTGTTCAACATTCAGTACAGCCTGATAAAGGGGAGTCAGGAGGCTGTCACCACCTGAAGGGGGCACAGAACAGAGACCTCATCCAGCTGCGGGGTGGCAACTGTACAACCCCCACATTCTGGGTTGGGGGGACAGCATCAATCTGTAGCATTTGCCAATTTCCATGGTGTGAATGTTCCCACCATCACTGACCACAAGCTACCAAAACAGCCTCACTGAAGGCAGAGTTGGGAGGAGACACACACGAGTTGGCTCTGACTTGCCTCTGCACAGAACCCAGCCTGGGGCCTGGGGGGATGCTTTCTGGAGGAGACGCCTCCCCCCACAGGAGACCTAGAGGAGAAAGCTGGGTGCAGGGAGGGGTGGATGAAGAAGGTGAAGGATGAGGGCAGAGGTGGCAGCATGGCGTGTGGAGCTGGGGTGTGAGCAGGAACAGTGGAAGCTCCCGAAGGCCTCGGGGCCAGCCAGAGCACTGCTCACTGTAGGAAGTCTGCATCTCATGCCCAGTGCAGTAAGAAGCCACAGAGGGTTTTAGGTAAAAGAGTAACCCGTCAGGTGGTGGTGACTTCCTGTTCATCACCAAGTCCCATGGATTCCAGCTCCAGTTTTCACTCCACATTCCTCAATCCCAGTGTCATCTCTTGGCTATCCAGCCACTAACTCTTCTCAAGTGTTCTCCTTCAATCCACCTGAACCATTGTTCTCAGAGCAGACAGATCTTGTCACAGTATAAACTGGGTCACATCATTCTGCTCAAAACCCTCTGATGGCTTCCTACCACATCTAGAATAGATTCAAACGAGGGCCTGTAAGCCTCCTGTGACCTGCCTTGTGACAACTTCTCCAGCCTCATCTTGCACTACACCCCTCCTTGCCCACTGGGATCCAGCCACACTGGCTACTTTCTGCTTTTTCAATGAGCCAGCCTCTGTCCTGCCTCAAGGCCTGGCCACTTGCTTTTCCCTCTGCCTGGAATGCCCTTCCTTGCTGCTCCTTTCTAACCTTCAAAGTATCAGCTCGATATTCACCTCCTCAGATTTCCACACTCCTACTCACTGGTATTGGACAACTATAAAATCTGGGGAGAATATATACCATTAGTGCTTTGCAGGCATTGGAAGATGACTGGTGCAGGACTGTGATCCTTAAGAAAAAGAATGCACAGTCTGTCATCGATGGGCATTTGGGTTGGTTCCAGACTGGACAGGGAAAATATGGTACATATACATCATGGAATATTATGCAGCCATCAAAAATGAAGAGTTCGTGTCCTTTGTAGGGACATGGATGAACCTGGAAACCATCATTCTCAGCAAACTGACACAAGAACAGAAAATCAAACACTGCATGTTCTCACTCATAGGCAGGTGTTGAACAATGAGAACACATGGACACAGGGAGGGGAGCACTACACACTGGGGTCTGTTGGGGGGAAATGGGGGAGGGATGGGGGGGTAGGGAGGTGGGGAGAGATAGCATGGGGAGAAATGCCAGATATAGGTGAAGGGGAGGAAGGCAGCAAATCACACTGCCATGTGTGTATCTATGCAACAATCTTGCATGTTCTTCACATGTACCCCAAAACCTAAAATGCAATTAAAAAGAAAAAGAAAAAGAACGCACTACAAGGCAGGCTCCACATTTTCCCCAGATCTCTCTCTGAAACATTTTCCAAACAATGGTTCTGAAAACAGAGCCCAAGCTGAGAGTGGTGGTCCTGTTAGGTGGAAAAATAGAGCTTGGATTTAGGGATGCTAAGACTGCTGGCGTTTCTGGGACAAAGTAACAGGGATGAGAGGGCTGTAGAGAAAAAAAGTCCAAATACTGTTCTAGAAATGCCCCTTGGGTCCTTGGCTGAATCATACGCTATGTGGCACAGTAGAAGACTTGCAAAGAACAGCAGCTTGGAGGTTAATTGGTGACAAGACATCACAGATCATACACTTCTGAGAAGGTGGCAGAGTTCTGGCCAAGCCAAAATGGAGAGGACTTCATGAAAGCTGTGGAACTCAGCTGATGTCACTGAGAGGCAATGCCCTAAGAGCAAGGACCACACCTTAGGAGTCATATCAAGCCCTACCAGGTCTGAGGGCAAAGCTTAAATAGGCCTACATGAGAATAAGATGATCTACTGATCATGCAACTATCTGCCATAATAAAATTCACTCAGCATTCTTTGGAGAAAGATAATAATCAGGAATCTTCATAACATATTATACATGATGTCCAATATATGAGTTTTTGAAATTCTTAGACATGAAGAAACAGAAAAGTGTGACTGTTCACCAAAAAAACAAAATAGTCAATAGGAGCAGGCAAAGAGATGATCCAAATATTGGAGTTATCAGCAAAAAAAAGGCCTTCAAAATAATTATGATCTGTATATTTTTTAAAACATAGAAAAAAATAAAGAAAATGGATATAAAGATGGAATATTTTAACAGAGAATCAAAATATATTTTTAAAAGAATAAAATGGATATTCTAGAACTGCAAAATACAATAAATGAAATTAAGAACTCATTGAATAGATTTAATAGAAGATGGGACACAGTAGGCCACAGGACTAGTGAACTAAAAGGCAGGTCAATAGAAAATCCAGACAGAGGCAAACATTTTTAAAACTAATACAGGATTTTTGAAAGATCTGAAATAGAGCCAAAACTCTGAATTTCTACCTAGAAGGAGAGGAAAGAAAAATAGAACAGAATAAAACATTTGAAAAAATAATGACCAAGAATTTTCTAAGTCTGATAAAAGACATAAATACACAAGTTCAAGAACCTCAAAAGAAAAAAAAAAAAAAGGACAAAAAACAAATAAAACCATATCTAAGCACATTATAGTTATATGTCAAACCTCAAAGATAAATAGGAAATTATAAAAGCAGTCAGAGACGAAATGACACAATTATGTCAGGGGGAGTGAGGAAGAAAACAATGACAATTACAAGTGATTTCTGGGCAGAAACTATGAGAGGCAGAAGACAGTGGAATGAGACCTTTGTAGATCCAAAAGAGCAAAATGCCTGGATACCTAAAATTCAGAATCCAATGGGAAAAAAATTTTAATGAAGGTTAAAAAATTATTTTCATAAAAAGAAATATGAGAAAATGAATCACCAGAAAATTCTCACTATAAAAAAAAAAACAGTTCTTAAGGCAGAAGGAAACTAGAGCCACAGAAGAGTAAGAAAGAACGAACAGCACAAGAACATGTAAATATATAGGTAAACGGAAAAGACTATGACTGTTTAAAATAACAGTGGCTTACAAGATCTGTTCTGCATAGAAGTAATATATATCAGAAAAATAAATAATGAAAAGTAAAAAGAATAAATGAAGTTAAACTATTGAAAGATTTTTGCATTAATCAGGGCATCGTAAAAAAAATGAATTTAAAGTAAATTCAAATAATTACTAGATATATTTTTGAAATGCCTAGAGTGACCACTGAAAGAGTAATGTTAAAACACAAGCTAATGGAGAAGAAAAATAAATAACAAAAATATAATGAATACCAAAAACAAAGGCAGGAAAGAAAGAATAATACAGAACAAATGAGACAGATAGAAAAAAAATAGTAAATAAATAAAATAAATTGGCCTGGCTTGGTGGCTCATGCCTGTAACCCAGCACCTTGGGAGGCCGAGGCAGGTGGATCACCTGAGGTCAGGAGTTCGAGACCAGCTTGGCCAACATGGTGAAACCCTGTCTCTACTAAAAAATACAAAAATTAGCCAGCCTGATGGTGGGACCCTGTGATCCCAGTTACTTGGGAGGCTAAGGCAGGAGAATCACTTGAACCCAGGAGGCAGAGGTTGCAGTGAACCGAGATCACACTACTGCACTCCAGCCTGGGTGACAGAGCGAGACACTGTCTCAAAATAAATAAATTATTTAATTAAATAAAATTTTAAAAATAAAATAAAACGAAATAAAGAAGACTATAATAGATATTTGAAATAACTAAAAAGAGAAATACACAAATGCACACTCAGACTGGAAGATTCTAAAACACATCTTGGTTAATGACAACACATCGACAAAGATAGAAGAGATTTGGTTAAGACAATTAACCAACATGGCCTAACTAATACACAGCAATCAGAGAATGTTCATTATTTGCAAGGGCATGTGAGATATACTGTTGGCCATAGACCATAACCTGGTCAATAAAACAAGTCTCAGCAAATTGTAGAAGACTAAAATAATATGCTGTATACCTTCCAACAACAATGAAGTAAAGCTAGAAATCAATGGTAAACGTGTAACTGAAAAATTCCAGAGATGCTTAGAAATTAGGCAACAGGTTTCTAAATAATCCATGAGTCAAAGAAGAAATCATAATAGAAATTAGAAACTATTTTGGTTATTTTAGGTTTTTGTTGTTGTTGTTGCTTGTTTTTATTTCATCCTCTCTGACTTTAATTCCTAAATCAATAAAATAAGGATCGCTATAACAATGTCATTTGAGGTGATTTTGAGGAATACATTGATAGTATATGAATTTCCTGGCACATAGTAGATAGGCAATACATATTCTTTATCTCTAATCCTTAGAAACTATTTTGAACTGAACAGACTTCATCTCAAAATGTGTGGGATGCCTAGAGAGAAATTTATAGCCTTAATTGCATAGATTGCAGAAGAAGAACAGCTGAAAATCGGTGACCTAAGTTTTCAACACAAGAAGCAAGAAAAAGAACAGCAAATGAAATCAAAAGCAAGAGGAAGAAAAAATATAATGAAGATATAAGAAGAAACCAATGAAATAAAATACAGCAAATCAATAAATAGAACCAGTAAAACTAAAAGCTGATTCTTTGAAATGATTGATAAAATTGTTGAGGTCAGGGAGGAAAGACAGAAGGAGAGAAAGGAAAGAAGAAAGAGAGAGACAGAGAGAGAAAGAGGGAAAAGGAGACAGGAGGGGGACAGCAAGAAACAGAAAGATGGAGAGATAGAGAAGGAGGTGCAGAGAGAGGAAAGGAGGGAGAGTGGGTGGAGCCAGATGGGACAGAGAAACAGAGATAGAAAACAGAATGAATGAATGCCAAGAACTCAACACTAAATATCCTGCACATGGTGAAGGTGGCCATAGGAACATTGTGACATTTTATCCCAGGACTCCCAAACGTCAAGAACTGTCCACAGATGAAGAGAGCGACTCAGAGAGGTCCACATGTGGCCTAAAAGTCTTTGCAAGCACAGAGCCAGGTTGGAACCCCGTTCTACCACGTTCTATGGTCCATTGTTCTTTCCATTGCAACTTTCAAGACTCAATGTACAGAATTAGAACTCGGGCTGCTTGAAAAACCACAGGGTTGGAAAATGCACAGTCTGACCTTAAAGTGTGAACGCCTCCTTAGTGCCCTGCTGGAGCCTAACCAGAGGGACAGGCTTCAATCTCCCGTGGCAGGTGGGAACAGAGACCCTGGGGCGAGAGCGTCCAGGTGCAAGTCCTGCTCCTCCCCTCACTGGCTGTGTGACTACAGTGACTGCGTTTCTGTTTTCTCTGTACCAGCCTCCTCTCATCTGGTAAGTGGGGAGGATGACTGTACTTCCCTCTCAGGACCCTGGTGGATTGCGTAAGTGAATGGGGTGGACCCTGGAACACAGTCATGTGCGGTGAGTAAGCAGCTATGCTGACCCGACCTACCTCTGGGCCGTTGCTCTGGGACCTCAGAGCTTGCCCCTGAGCCACAGAACACCAGGGCCTCTTCTCTTTCTCCAAACGTGCTTCTTTCACTCCGGCTCCACCGACATTTCCTTGCAGGGTGTTGGCTACGTCAGCGTTGTTCCAGACCACTGATGGAGAAGGAGAATCAGCACTGTGTCTGGAATTCCCAGCACCTGCGGAGGGTCCTGTCTGCCCTGCAGCCAGGCTCGTTTCCTTCTCCAAGGGTGGCCCACAGGCTCTTGGAAGCAGCTGCCCTGTGCATGGAGTCACCTGCACCTCTTTGTCCACAGCATGCATCCTGGCTTTTCCCTGAAGGTGCTGCCTTCCCCTCATCGAATGCCCCTGATCCATGCTCCTCTGCAAGGTGACATCCCTCTCCAGGACGTGGACTCTGTGTAAAAGGTGTTCGTTCTCCCCCCTGAAGGCCCAGATCATGTCTTCTATGCCCAGCACCACATCCTTGATCAGCTCTTTGTAACTGACACTGAGCTCTGAGATCAGCACCCGCAGCTCCCAGTTCTCCAGGGCGACTTGCTCCACCGTGCCTTTGGATTTCCGAATGCTCTCCGACATGGCCTTCTGGAGCTGGCCCAGATTCCCTTTCAGTTTTTCATTTTCCTCTTCAAGCTCCAAAATTTTGCTGTAACTCTTCCCGTTGCAGTCTTCCAGGTCGGAGATGACTTGTAAATATTGGTCCAGTTCTTTCCTTAACTGAGAGATGTCCCCTCCCAGCGCCTGGTTCTCCTGCTCCAGCCTGGATATTTTTGTCACCTCTCTCTCTCTTTCAAGGGTGCACACTCTTTTATGGCACCTCTCTTGGTCTCCGTGAAGTTTGGCATTGTCATGTAAAATCTGGCTTCTCTCTTTCTTCAGTCTAGAAATGAGCTGATGAAACCTGCTCTTCACTCTCTTGAGGGCACCCGAGGGCTCAGCGGGCTCCCCTGGAGGGTCCGGGCTGGCTTCATCCCAATCAGGCAGTGTCCCTGGGTCACCGGGAACTTCGCTGGTGCCCAGAGCCATGGTCTTTTCCAGCTTATCCCCTTCACCACTCACTTTTGACTTTGCTTCTTCATCAGAACAAATACCCTGGTTTCCCCAAACCTGCTGAGAGCAAGCTCTCTCCCCACCAATGTGCCACTTCTGAGCGAAGCTCCAGTTCCCTCCCCCGCACACAGAGGCTGAGCGCTGCCAGCCCCCACCACCCGGCTGCAGTGTGGACAGCTGCTGGAAACAAGCCTCCACCTCCTGTGCCAGCTCATCGATTGTGAGTGCACACCTGTCGTGTACTTTGCTCACAGCTTGTGGTTGACCATGACCAGTGGGTTCACCCCCGTCAGCTGATAAGGCAAATCTGGGAAACAGCGGCAAACCTGTCTCTCCCACAAAGAAAAGCATTTCCTTGCTCTCGTGTCCCTGGGAGTCAGGTTCCTCGGGGGCACCCCTGTACCCCGGACTGGACGCTTCTTGATGCGGGACCTCGTCCTCCTCCTCTAGCCCCCCTTCGTCCTCCAGGCTTTCTCCTTGCAGAATCTGAGCATTTCCAAGCCACACCTGGCTTTCCTCCTTGGCCCTAGCTGTCCTCCCGAGACCTCTGCCTCTCCCTGCCGGGGGCTGACTGTCTGTTGGCCTCGGCTCTTTGGTCTCGTAAGCGCTGGAGAAGGTGGCTGGGGGTGCCGTCTCTTCCTTCTCTGATGACAGTCCTCCTCCAAGACCCCAGACATATCCTTCCACTCTTCCTCTCCTGCTCAGGGATTCAGGTCCTTCCTTTGACACTGAGGCCTCCCCCTGTAGAAGAGGCATCAGAAACTCCTGCCAGGGCTCAGGCCAGCAGGTGGTGGCCTTGTTCTTGGAAGCCCCGTTCTGGTCCTGCATGCCCTCTGTGGCTCCAGCCTGGTTCTCCAAGCTCAGGTTCTGACGGCTTTCCTGACTTGGCTGGTGCTTGTCACCGAAGTTTTTCCCCTTCCAGCCCAAAGTCCCCCTTGCCTCCCCCTCCTTGGTTCTTCTCCCCAGACTTCCTCCTCCGTTGTTCCAAGTGTCTTTCAGAACTTTAGGGTCTTTTTTGGGAAATCGGTGATTTGAAATTTGGGGGGCCTCATGGAAGAGGGAGGCACCATGGCCTCTTGCCTGGTGACAATCCCAGCCAGGGTGTCCTGTGGCTTTGGGAGGAGGTGGGGACACAGTGACCAACGCATCTTGGGTTTGTAGTCCCTCGAGGGGAACCTCCTGGAGTGGCCAAGAAGCTGAGTCCCCAGCCGGCCCCCAGAGAGGGCATGTAGACGTCTGCACCAGGAAGAAGGCCTCTGGGGCCGGGTCAGCTGCTAGATTCTCTGAAATCCGGGCCAGGTCCATGGGGAGGAGTGACTCGTCCAAGCACTCCCTTGGGGGGCAGCCACAGGCCAGGAGAAGAATCTGTCCATCCAAGCTGGGCTCTGCCAGAGTAAGCTATGAGTGGAGAGAGAAGATGAGGTGTGAAACAGCCCCTTCCACCATTCAGCACCCCGAGCTCCGCTTACCTCCTGGGGTTCTCTGCGCTTCCTCACCAGCTGCACAGGGCACAAGCTCTTTCCCACACAGGACACAGCTGGTACCACCCCAGGACCTTCGCACGTGCTCTTTGGTCTGACCAGAATGCCCCTTCCTACAGATAACCCCATGGCTCACTCCCCGGCTCCACTCACATCTCAAGGCAAATGTGACTTCCTTGAGAAGGCTCTGCCTGACAGTCCTTACTCACTCGTGGGCCTTCACCCCATGTCACCTCCCACAGCGCCCTCCACGCCCTCACCCCATATTATACATTTCTGTCCATATCGTCTAACTCCTGCTGTAGCCTTGCCCCATCCAGTCCACTAGTCGTGGGCCCCATGGAGCTCCTAAAATGCAGCGTAATCAAATCAAGGTTAGCATTCAGTTCTGGGGTGGCATCAGCCCCGTGGGGCTCCTGGCTACCGTCTTGGGCAGTGCAGATGCAGAATGTGACCAGTGCTTCCAAAGGCTCTAATGGATGGTGCTCGTGCAGGCTGTCCACACCCTGAGGGCAGGACTTCATCTTTGCTCAAATCCTGGGCCTAGAACAGTGCCGGGCACACAGGAGGTGTTTACTCGGTATTTTTGATGTATTTTTTATCTTCATTTATTTGATGTGTTTATGCAGAGAGGAGGGGATGCCCAGCTCACAGCAGAGGCCCGAGCTGGGCAGGGGGAGGCCTGAGGATGAAATTTGCACTCAGCCAGGCTCACTGTGAGTCCCCGGAGGCTGCTCCCAGGCCTGGCAGGTTGCAGGCAGTTCTCAGTGGCTCCTCTAGAACAGCTTCGGAAGGCTCAGCAGGTCTAAGACACAGACGAGGAGGACAGAGGGAGTGTCTCAAAAGACAGAGGGGTTCTGAGCCTTCGTGAGTGGGCGTACCAGCAAAAGGGCCCCTTCAGGGAGAGGGGACTTGAAGGCCAGGGGAGCTGCCCTTCCCGGGAGGGGCCACTGCATCCCTGCTCCCTGGAGCTGCCCGTGGGCAGCACCCATCCCCTGTCGTCTTTGCCTCTGTCTGCGATGCCCATTCATCCAGACACCAAGGCACTGTACCAGCTGCCCACAGAGAAAAGAGCACTTGCCCCGGAGAGGTACAGACCTGGCTTCAGTCCTGGGTGTGGCCTGAGCTAGTTCCTTAACCTTCTGGAGCCTCCGTCACCTCGCCTGTCAAATGGGTACCTCAGTGTTATAAGACATTGTCCTGGGCTTCAAGGGAAGGGGGCAGTGAGGAGGGAGAAGTACAGGAATGCAGCATCCAACAACAAAAACAAGAGATGCATCAGGAGCAGGACGTGAATGAATGAAGAGGTAACAGAGGGCTCTCTCTGTTTAGAACCCCAGCGCCACAGCCGGGCTCGCAGGCTTCAGTTCTGGTCCTGGCAAGGCTCCGTTCCTCAGGGACAAGAAAATGGAAGTGGAGAAAGGCTACGACTCCCTCAGCCTCAGAGTGAACCCCGGGAGGTGAGTTGGGACGCAGGCTTGTGACCCTCAGGGCTGCTGTGGGGCAGGGTGGGCCGTGGAGCCTGGAGCTCGGGGTCCACCTCCAGGCTGGGAGCCTTGGGGAGTCACAGTGGCCCTTGGAGTCTTGCCTCCTCTTCAGAGCAGAGGTGGCAGCACGGCCTCGTGGGCATCAGGAGGTGCCAACGAGATGAAGCCTGCCTCATGGTAGCCCAGGCCTGGCACCCAGTTAACCCCTTCCTCCCCACTCCCCATCCAGGTCTCGGATGTTTCATTTCCTCTCCTCAAATCACCCTCTCAACTACTTCCAGAATGTTCTTCCACACCTGGAGCTTCCTTAGCCCTCCCATCTCCTGCGGATGGCCACATAGCCTGTGCAAGGCAGGGCTGAGGGGCCCCAAGGGCACCGCACATGGGCACAGAAAGCCTCCGGCCTCACCTGATCACGGACGAATCCTGCCAGGTCTCCTGGGAGCTCGCTTGAGGTCTCCGGGCCTGGAGCCAAAACAGAAGAGGCCTGTCCAGGCCCAAAGCAGCTCCAGGCACTGGACCCTTCAGGGGGAAATTGGCCTGAAAACAACAAGACCCTGGAGGTTACAAAGACACGCCCGGGGGCTCTGCCATGATTGTCTCTAGGGACCATGCCCCCTGGGCTAGGGTGAGATGGCACCCCCACTCCCCGAACTTTGAGCCTCCGCGTGCCTCCCAAGGGCAGTCTGATGACCACCAGCACCTTGATCGGGGGAGGAAGCTGAGGCTCAGAGATATGAAACCACCATCAGCAGGTGGGCGGAGGCCCCAGGGCTCCCAGCCATCGCTGCGGCCACAGACTCCTGCACATCTTTCTAAGCCTCAGCATCCTCATCTGTCAAGCACAGTAATGAGCCTCACCCCAGCCCAGCACAGTTGGCATGAGGGCACACCTGACCTGGGTTGATGTGGCAGTTCAGCTCTGCCAGGTGTGAGTCTCACTGCCTCACCCTGGAGCTGTCAGGGAAGTGGGGGACAGGGTGGCTCCCAGTCATCACATAGAATTCTGTGAAGGAAAGTCCCTGCCGCCAACCTGCTTGCCTGTGGGGCCGTCTGGCTGGCACCCTCCTAAGGGCCGAGGGTATGAGCCTATGTCCAGCTGAGCCCGAGCCAAAGGCCCCTGGTGGGCTGCACACTGATCCCACCTGCAGCAGCTGTATGACCCTGAGTGAGGACCCCTACCTCTCTGAGCATCAACTCTTGTCTGTAGAGAGGGGGGACCACCCCTCCCCCACATCATCAGGACATGATGAGGAGGAAGCGAGCTGGCCCCTCGCTGGGTATTGCCCGGGACCCCATCCTCCACGCACTGCCGCACCCACACACCTGCTGAGGCCCTTTGTCCAGCATCATCGGACCGCAGGGAGCTCCGCTGGCCTTGGCTTCTGCAGAGGTCCAGGGCCTCCTCCCCGGGCAGGGGCAGTGAGTCACCCTGAACACAGCCCAGGGCGTCCTGCAGGAAGACAGAGGAAGTCAGGAGGCACCAGTGTCCTGGCTGAAGTGTGCACTCCAAGCCCATCCCCAGAGGGCCCCCATACAGGGGGGTGGAGTCCCTTCCACAGGTGAGGAAACCGAGGCTCAGAGGGCAGAGAGCTCACAGCCTGGCAGCACAGCCCCAGCCTTGTGCTTTCGGCTCCCCAGGCCAAGCTGCCCCCTCTTAGCACTTGGATGCCTGTCCACAGATAACGAGGGCAGAGTTCGGTCCTCAGAGGAGTGTGTCCATCCAGCCAAGAAGCACCCAGGTCCTCTAAGTAGGGGCATGGACCAGACTGGTATAGTCCGAGGCCTGTTAGGAGCGGAGCTGCACGGCAGGAGGTGAGCGGTGGGTGAGTGAGCGTTACCGCCCGAGCTCCGCCTCCTGCCAGATCAGCAAAGGCATTCGATTCTCACAGAAGCGCAAACCCTACTGTGAACTGCATGTGCAGGGGATCTAGGTTGTGTGTTCCTTATGAAAATCTAACGCCTGATTATCTGAGGTCGAACAGCGTCATTCTGAAACTATACCCCCACCCACACCCTGCCCATGGAAAAATTGTCTTTCATGAAACCAGTTTCTGGTGCGAAAAAGACTGAGGACTTCTGTCCCAAAGGGCACCCTAGGCTCCCAGCTCCGCCCTCCTGTGCCGGGTTCTTTCTATGACCTGCCCAGCAGGGAGGGTGTCTGCCCAGGGGGTTTGGACCGTCCTGTCTTTCAATGGTCAGTAAGCTCCAAATGCAACTACCAGGTACCTTGGCAGTGCCCTGTGCCCTGGATGTCTCTGCAGTGTGGAGTTTCCCCAGCTGCCACCCTGCTGCAGATCAGGATTATCGAGAGGTGGCTCCTTCACTGCTGCCATGCGGCAGAGGTGTGGGACTGGTAAAAAAAAAATACCTCAGCTGTCACCCATCGCCCACGAGGGGCTGGACACAGGTCTCCATGTTCCCACGGCTCCGGCTACTTCCATCGTGGTGCTCCGGCCCAGTGCTGTGGGCCGCCTACTCCACTGCGCCGTGGGCTCCTCTAGGAAGGGAACTTGGCTTCATTTTCTCTGCACCCTCACCCTAGCCTGTATATAGTAGGTGCTTAATAAATGTTTCATCCTTGAGTGGATAGATAGAGCCTGAAGAAAAGCAGATGTTTTAGATTTACCAGTGCATTCATTCAGGAAACATTTATTAGGCTCCTGCTGTGTGCCACGTGCGGCTCTAGACCAGGAGGAAACAGAAGTGAACAGGTAAGTGCCCTGTCCCCGTCTCACCTGCTCCCCAGGTCCTCTCCTGCACTCAGCAGACCCAGCATCTGACTTCTGGCTGGTTCTCTGCCCCCTTTGCATTCTTCTTGCACTACCAGGGAGACCCGCTGATCTGCCAGGCTTCCCTTGGCTCTCCTCTGGCTCTGGGTCAGCATGAATGCTGAAATTAGGTGCTGGTGGCTGTCCATAGGCTGTCACTGCTGCTCTTGTTCCCACCCCTGCACCTTTGCGCCAGCTTTCCCCACAGAGGCCTGCCTGACTGCCCCAGTGCGCCTGTCCGTGCTCTCCCCGGCCTCTGCATGCCCCCATTTGCTGTTCCTGGGGCCTGGCTGGTGCATCCTCCTGGGGAGGGACCTTGATCACCTGCCTGCTGCAGGTAAAGCCTTCCCTACTCCTTGCTCCCAGCCCCTCCCTTCCATACACCGCTCAGTTTCCAGAGATGGCAGTAAAATGGGAACTGGATCCGGTTGCTCCCTGCTTCTCACTCTCCCTGTTACACTGAAAGATGAACTCCTGCCAGCCTCACTGCCCCCACTTCCACCCTGCTACCCGACACCCACGTCTGTGCTCCTGGATGGGACTCTTTCTCCCCACACCTCAGAGCCTTTGCACACACAGTGTCTGGCCCTCTCTTCCCACCCTCTTTGCCTGGTCAACCTCCTCCCCTTCTGGGATCTGCTTAAAGGCCAGATCCTTCACGAGGCCTTCTTTGGCCTTCATCTCCTCCCACTCTGGGTTGGTGGCCTCCTGTTGATCTGCGTGATGGTTTGGGTCCTGTCTATTTATTCTCATAGGCAGGGGCCTCAGCACTGGCTACATCAGGGAGTCACCCAGAAACTGTAAATAAGAACCAGTGCAGGAGCCTCGACTCGAACCCATGATCCCCAGAGGGCCTGGGCAGCAGCATCGTGTCCTGACAGCCCCCTGCCTGCACCC